CATGGACAATCATATCGCGCTAGTGGCCGGAGCCACTGACGAAGAATTGGACGCTCATGAGGAGCTACTAGCGCAAGTGGAGGTGGCTTATGGTAGTGCTGTCACCAAATTGCAACGCATGCGTGCTGGCTCAAATGCCACTGCGCACTCTGCATCTAGCCGGTGCCAAGGTGAACACCGATTAGATCCATTCAAACTCCCCACGTTCGATGGTNTTCGATTATTTATGTTTTGCATACATACATACATACTTCCATCTTTATATGTAATATTCTTGAACCTGTAAACATCATAAAATCTAACGTTACCAAGTCACGCTATTGTACCGTTTGTAGCTTTCTATAAAAGACGAATTTGCAAATAAATAAGTGCCATTATATTCCCGCTGGTCGGTGTGTACAAACATAATCGGTTTTCAGTTGCTTTTATCGTACATATTTTTGGTGCCTCCTGTGAGGACTGAAAGCGCGGTTTTTTATTGCCAAAGTTTCGTATAATCTACGCTGTAAAATAAAACTAGTTTACCTTCGCGATTCTAACCGCGGAACTATGGCTGCAATGAATATTAGAAGAGCGGCGAGGAGTTCTATACTACGCATCAGGGCGGAGGTGGAAACCGAAGGTTATACCGCGGATGAGGTGCACGTGGAGCACACCATCAGCATTCTAACCGGGCACTATAATCGCTTCATGGACAATCATATCGCGCTAGTGGCCGGAGCCACTGACGAAGAATTGGACGCTCATGAGGAGCTACTAGCGCAAGTGGAGGTGGCTTATGGTAGTGCTGTCACCAAATTGCAACGCATGCGTGCTGGCTCAAATGCCACTGCGCACTCTGCATCTAGCCGGTGCCAAGGTGAACACCGATTAGATCCATTCAAACTCCCCACGTTCGATGGTCGACAGGAAAACTGGTTGGTGTTTAAGGACATCTTCGAGTCGATGGTACATAATCGGACTGATCTTGACGACACTTACAAAATCAGCCGGCTAAGGCAGTGCGTCGATGCGCAAGCGGTGTCAATAGTTGGCGGCGTATACACTGGAGGCTACGACCTACTATGGGCGGAATTGAAGAGGAGGTACGACAATCCCAGGCGTTTGGTTGAGTCACATGTGAATCGGTTGTTGGACTTGCCTGAACAACCAGCACTTACGCAACGCAATGTTCGTAATGTAATCGATGTAGTACGCAGTACCTTACGTGCACTTAACGTGATGGGCTTGGCCACCGACCATTGGGACGCCATCGTTTATCCTATTGTTCTCCGTAAATTGCCAACATCGGCGGTCGCGCACCGTTCGGAGTCATTCAGACACTCTGTCGCAGCTGCAGAAAATGCTTGAGCAGATTGAGACCTATGCTGGCACTTCAAGGAGCAGCTCTACCGTACCGCCGAGGCACTCGGCAACATTTCGTACCGCACAGTCACATATGGTGGTGCCCAAATCTTCAAGCGCCAACATGAGATCAGCAATGACCTGCCCACGATGCGCCGAGCCACATCGTATATCAAGATGCCCTCAATTTCGAGCATTAAGTCTGGATCAACGTTTGCACTGGGTACGCCAAGCAACGTTATGCTTCAACTGCTTGGGACCAGGTCACTCGGCCCGTGAGTGTAACTCGGGGAATTGCAACAACTGTAAGCAGAAACACAACACCTTGCTTTGTAAGGCAGCTCCGCAAGGCGAGCGGTTACCTACAAACACCAGCTCAGTAGCGCGACCAGTGTCCGTACTCGAGCAACAATCGCCATCAACCAGCGCTACTGCGCCTCAGGTCCTGCCCCGTCTGGATGCTGTCCAGTCTCTCCTGGCGCAATCCGAAGGAATCGTCCTACCAGCCACTGCCAAGGCGCCCATCGTAAATGGGTGTGGAGAGGAAGTATCGTGTCGTCTCTTGTGTGACATGGGTTCACAGGTAAGCTTCATTACGGAGCCATTTTTTAAGCGTTTGAATCTCCACAGAAGGCGTTACACATTGACGGTAGAAGGTATTGGTTCGCAGAGGGCAACTTCTTCGCGCGGACAGACGACTCTGGTGATGCGATCATATCACGATGCAGAATTTGAGTGCCGTTTTGATGCGCACATTTTGCCTAGTATAACTTCGACGATTCCCGCATCTCCAATTGACACGAGCGGGTACAAACACTTACACTACATACCACTGGCTGATCCGACATTTCACACGCCAGGAAGCATCGATGTACTCATTGGAGCGGACATCATGGGCATACTTCTCCTGGGTGAAACTATCACTGGTGGGCCTAAGCAGCCGTGCGCTCTCCATACGCGTCTCGGTTGGGTCATATGCGGACCTACATCGCCACGCTGTGCGTCACTCCCCGCCTTGGGCACACCGACCGAATGTGCTACCGAGGAGGAGCGACTCGATGAGATTCTTCAACGCTTCTGGGAACTGGAGGAGGTTCCTCGCCCCAAAACGACCGATGACATTTGCGAAGAGATTTTCCAACGAACCGTATCGCGCAAGAGCAATGGCCGATACATAGTGCAGATCCCATTTTCTCCGGATGCGCCTGCACTCGGTGATTCCTACGGCAAGGCGCTGGGCCACTTTTTCAACCTTGAGAGGCGTCTGAGGGGTGATGATGACTTGCGCCAGAAGTATGTTCAGTTTATGCGCGAGTACGAGACGCTCGGCCACATGGAGAAGATCACGCTACAACGAGATGATCCATCCCACGCCTACTTTATACGGCACCATGCTGTCACCGCGAAATTCCGTGTGGTCTTCAACGCTTCGGCGAAGAGCAGCAATGGCGTCTCCTTGAACGACACTCAGCTGGTTGGGCCGGCAGTTCAAGATCCACTAGTTGACATCCTCTTACGCTTTCGTCGATTCCGCGTAGCTGTCACGGCTGACATCGAGAAGATGTTCCGGCAAATCGAAGTGGACTCCAGGCATCGATGTTGGCAGCAGATCCTCTGGCGCGAAAGCCCTAATGACCCGCTCCGTGCGTATCAACTGAAGACTGTCACCTACGGTATGGCTTGCAGCCCTTATAACGCTGCTCGTGTTCTGAACCAGTGCGCCATTGACAACCAAATCGTGGTTCCTGATGCTAATCGAGCTGCAGCTGCACGGGACAGTATCTTACGCAACTTTTATATGGATGATCTCCTGGATAGCGCTGACACGCCAAATGAAGCAATCACGTTAGCGCGAGACATTTCCACCATATTGCAACAAGGCCACTTTCGACTTTGCAAGTGGAAATCCAACGATGTGGATGTGCTCTCGGCGACATCTGGTTCAGAGGCATCCAGCTGCACACTTGGCTTAGGCGACACTGATGCCAAGGTTCTGGGGCTTTACTGGGGACCAGTCAATGATGTGATTCTTTTTCGGGTAACGCTGCCAGATGCTAACCCTATCCCTACCAAACGTCAGGTATTGAGTGAAGTGGCCAGAATCTTCGACCCTCTTGGACTTCTGGCTCCAGTAACAGTGACCGCTAAGATGATGATGCAGTTAACATGGGCCGCCAAGATAGATTGGGATACGCCCTTACCACCAGAGCTACGCGAGAAGTGGCTCAAGTTCCGAGGCAGCCTTCCAGCTATTAGCGCTTTCCGCATATCACGATGGATCGGAATGACCAAGTCAGCAGCTACCACGCTCCATGGGTTTTGCGATGCCAGCGAACGGGCGTACGCCGCTGTCATATATTCACGAAGCATCGAACCCGATGGACAGGTGAGAGTGAGACTCGTAGCTGCACGAACTAAGGTTAGTCCACTTAAGGCAATCACCATTCCGAGGCTGGAATTGTGCGCCGCTCACTTGCTTGTAACTTCTATGGTGAGTGTACGCGAGGCTCTTCAACTCAGCAAAGATCAATGCACCTATTGGAGCGATTCCAGCATAGCCCTTGCTTGGATACGCAAGCCACCAAACATTTTGATGCAGTATGTCTCCAATCGAGTGGCTTACGTCCAAAGGAACTCCAATCCTTCAGATTGGCATCACATAAGCAGCAAAGACAATCCTGCCGACTGTGCCAGTCGCGGCATGACACCAGCGGCTCTTCACAATTTTTCCTTATGGTGGAATGGGCCAGGCAACATGTACGAAGACAATCTTATACCAAGTGAGATCCCACTTCTCGGCGACAGCGAGCAGCAAGTGCACGATGCCGAACTGAGGCCACTTCGAACACATATCTGCACTCTGACCATCCCTAAGATACAAGTCCGGCGGTGTAATGGGTCACTTACCACATTCATTCCATTAGTGGAACGCTTCAGCACTTTACAGCGAGTTTTGCATACCACAGCCTATGTGCTACGGTTTCGGCCAGCGGGCAGACCCTACTGGCGTACGCCAGTTATAACGGCAGATGAAATTCAGCAAGCTTTTGAAATTCTTGTTCGAGAAGCGCAAGGTAATTATTACAATTCAGAAATTAATCATTTGCGAGCTTCTTCCAGCGTTGCTGCTTCGAGTAAGTTGCTCTCTCTGAACCCTATCCTGGATGACGCTGGTGTGTTAAGGGTTGGCGGCCGACTGAGGAACGCAGACCTCACGTATGAGCAGCGCCATCCGATCATCCTTCCTAGAGAATGTGCCCTAGCTACGCTTCTGGTCCGCAACGCACACAGGATTACAATGCACGGCGGCATTAGGGAGATGCTACAGTACCTCCGACGGGATCTCTGGATTGTGCACGCTAGAGTCTTGGTCAAGCGGTGCCTACATCAGTGTAAGACCTGCAAGTTACACCAAAGAGCAATGCAACAACAACAAATGGCTGATCTACCTCGCTCTCGAGTAATGGTTGCGCCTCCCTTTTCCAACGCTGGGTTGGATTACGCCGGACCATTCCTCGTCCGCCATGGTGGTAAACGTTCTACCACCACCACCAAGACGTATGCTGCGATCTTCATATGCATGTGTACAAAGGCAGTGCACATAGAACTGGCGGAAGACCTGAGCACCCGAGCATTTCTGGACGTCTTTGATCGATTTGTGAGTCGTAGAGGATATTGCACCAATCTCTATAGCGACAATGGCACCCAATTTGTGGGGGCAAACCGTCAACTTCAAACTGACCTGGTCGACTGGCACAACACTTATTCCAAGCAACAACTGTCTGATGCAGGCGTCCGCTGGCACTTCATAACTCCTTCCGCTCCTCATCAAGGAGGCTTATGGGAGGCTGCAGTGCGTTCGGCCAAGAAGCATCTCAAGCGCGTCATTGGTGACGCTGTTCTCCCGTTCATCCAACTCAGTACCCTGCTGGTACGCATTGAGGCATGTCTCAACTCGAGACCCATCATCGCTCTTCATGACGATCCCGAAGGCGGCGTCGCGCTATCACCCGGAGACTTCCTCATCGGCCGCCCATTGAATTCTCGTCCAGAGGCCCCCGTTCCGGAAGCTCCGGACAATCGGCTAAAGTACTACCAACGACTACAACGCATGTTGCAACATTTTTGGCACCGGTGGAAGGAGGAATACTTGGTCCAGCTGCAGGCTCGTAGCAAGTGGGCCCGACCTACGCCAAATCTACAAGTTGGTGACGTCGTGGCCATCCAGCAAGAGCAGCTTCCTCCATCTCGATGGCGCATCGGTCGCATTAACAGCAGTGCATCCGGGGAGTGACGGGCTGGTGCGCGTAGTCACCATCGAATCCTGCGCATTCGAAAGAGGCTTCTGTCGCAGACATTTGTGTCAGCGCCCAGTCCAACGAGTATGCCGTATCCTTCAAGCCCACGAAGGCATTCTAAGTCCGGAGGACTTAGCCGGGGAGGATGTACGCGATTAAGTGGCAACGACCAGCTTTATCGTCTGCACTCTGCACAAACCTTTAGTGTCATTCGCGGCTGCACTCTGAACTAGCCTTAAGTGTCATTCGATTATTTATGTTTTGCATACATACATACATACTTCCATCTTTATATATAATATTCTTGAACCTGTAAACATCATAAAATCTAACGTTAACAAGTCACGCTATTGTACCGTTTGTAGCTTTCTATAAAAGACGAATTTGCAAATAAATAAGTGCCATTATATTCCCGCTGGTCGGTGTGTACAAACATAATCGGTTTTCAGTTGCTTTTATCGTACAAAAACATTTTTGTGAAATTCTTTGCTTGCACTTCTTTTTCTCAACTAAAATTTTCTAATTTATAAAGGCTATTCAATGTAGCTTTATTTTATTGCTAAATGTGAATGATTAAAAGGAATGACACCTTTTTTGGCACTTTTATTTTTCTATTTGGCACATTTTGGCACTTCTTTATCCTCAATATGGCACCTCATCACTAAGGCAGCCCTGATTGGAAGATTTCTGCTGTGTTTTGGGGCAACAACTTGTCTGCAGTAAAAAAGCATATAATTTGTGTTTCAAAAGTGTGTGAAAACCAATCCATTAACTTATATGATCTCGGTTCCGATATTAAATAATCAATAATTGTTTATACCCGCATTTTGGCACATTGGCTCGTTGAATGTGCCATCTAATAAATAGTGTCGTCGTTCTCCTTAGCTGCTTTTAAATGACTGCTGGCGGAGACATAAATACAGTGTAAGAAAATTCTTTTTCTAGAATTGTTTCCTTATAGAAAGGTTGGGTTCTTTTCCACCTTAGACATTCCGAATTCGTTCAAAATATGCTAATTTAAAACACAGAACTCTTTCAGTGCTCCTCCGGGGTTTTTGGACATGTACTGTTTCTTCAATTTAATAGTGTTCGCTTTATTTTTGTAGAAACGAAAAATGTTTTGCATGTTATGGATCATTTCTTTACTCTTTCTTCAAATATTTCTCGTATTGCAGCTGTACGCAGGCGTTTAGTTTTTTGCATCGTGTTTTTACATATTCGTAATTTATATTCTTTTTTTTAATAGAATCAATTGGAGGTAGTTCATGATTGTGTGTGGATTAATATCACAACACTGAGGATTTAGCAAAATCCTTTTTCATCTATTAAAAAACAACACTTACGGGCGTCAATGACTTTATTTCCAAATTTTTGTTGACTTTATTTCGCTTTTGAAAAGGTAATAATGTCAATTGACCTTATTACCTGTCACCGGCTGAACACCTGTTGCAGAGAACACGTTTCTGCGTAGGCGGCCTTCGGCCGCACTTAGGGAATATAACCCTCACTAAGTAGACTTCCCCTTTCTGTGTTGCCAAAGAAAGGGGCTGAACACCTGTTGCAGAGAACACGTTTCTGCGTAGGCGGCCTTCGGCCGCACTTAGGGAATATAACCCTCACTAAGTAGACTTCCCCTTTCTGTGTTGCCTTCTTTGTATGAATTGTTTTGAACAGTATGGCAACACATCTTATGTGTAAGTTTGCAACCATGTGTGAATATGGGTGCAATTTAATGCAATTTACAACTTAGTAAAAGTTGGTAGTGGTAAGCAGTGCGCGCTTTCACTCACCAGCACCTGGGTTCAAGCCCTGGTCAAAGCAACATCGCAAAAAATTTAGAAAAAGGTTTTTCTTAACAGCGGTCGTCCCTCGGCAGGGAATGGCAACCCTCCGAGTGTATTTCTGCCATGAAAAACAGCTTCTCATAAAAATACAATCGCCGTTCGGAGTCGGCGTAAAACTGTAGGTCCCTCCGCTTTGTGTGACAATATCAAGGCGCACGCCACAAGTTGGAGGAGAAGCTCGGCCAAACATTAACATTGTGTAAGCGCCAATCTATTATTATTATATACAAAATAAAATAAAATTAAAGTGTGTAAACTATTAGGTAGAGTGTTATGTGCATTTATATATATGAAAGTATATGACATGCACTTTTTGATAAGGAAATCAAGTGGAACGACTTAAGAAATTTTAACAACAAATAACTTATAAACAATTATATTGTTTATATTTTTTAATTATACATGTTTTAGAGGATACCTCCCTTAACATCCTGACCAAGTTTCATTTGTTAATTCCACCTGGTTTTCTTAAAACAAAAGGTGCGGCTGAATACTAAAGCCCACCCGCGCTTAAAAAAATCTATATTTCGATATCAATTCAAAATTTATAATAAAAAATCGCCCGTGGCGACGAATAACTGTTACCCATTTTTTTTTTTAGAAATAAAAGTGTCCTTTACAGATTTTGTGAAAAAAGTATTTTATTGTTAATTTTCCACAGATTTTACTTTAGTTGTATTAATTAGTTTTTAAATTTTAATCCTTATTTAGATTTGCCAGCAGTGTAAACTTTAAGTGAAAAGTTCATTTGGCACGCAAGTATTTTTCAGGTATTTTTTAAAGGCTTTGTATAAAAAAAGACAAAAAAAAAGAAAACTTTATAGGGTTGGTCGAATGAATGGCCGTCCCGGTCACCAGTTCCGAGTCTATTAGATTTTTGAGAATGAGGCCTTATGTTGGACAAAAGGGGAGTATAAGGGACTCAAAATGGAGAAAATTGGCCTATGGTTACGGAAGATATGGAATAAATTAACTGACGAGGATCTGCGTGCCAAATGAACTTTTCTCTCAAAGTTTACACTGCTGGCAAATGTAAATAAGGATTAAAATTTAAAAACTAATTAATACAACTAAAGTAAAATCTGTGGAAAATTAACAATAAAATGCTTTTTTCGGAAAATCTATAAAGGACCCTTTTATTTCTCAAAAAAACCAGGGTAACAGTTATTCGTCGCCACGCTGTATATTAAAAGTTTTTAATAAAAAATGGGGGTGCCTAAAAAAACCAATACTTCGATATATTTAAAATCTTTGCTTGCGCCGCTTTTTTAAATCTATACTTCGATATATAGGCCCCTATTATGATTCACAACTTTCAAGATAGTTGAGTTGTAAGTTGTAAATTGGTATTGTGGGACACAACTTTGAAAACGTAGTTGTCTAGCACTAGCATCATCGGGCTCATCGGTAAAACATAATTCGTAACTGATTTCCATTTTATGGCATTTTATTATTTTAATATCATTAAAATAACATAATATTATGGGAATCACAAAATTTGTACGGAATTTCCGAATTTTTCGTTGGCTACAGTCAACTGAAAACAGTTGTGAACGGCAATAGCAATAAATAGTTCAGTTGTATACAAGTTGAGTTGTCTCAGACACAACTCAACTAAGTTGAGTTGTGAACCATAATAGGGGCCATAGTAAAAATATGCAATAAAAACTTTTGTGTTTTCATTGTTTCGTTTTTTAGGATGTGTGGCAGCACTGAAGTTTCAGTTCAATCGCTCTACAAAGGAACAAGGGAGGTTGAATGTGACTTTTTTTGCAACTTTAACTACTAATTACTTAAAAATGATAAGCCACCGGAGGGAGGGACCTTCAGATTTAAAATAAGGGTCCCCCTCATCACCTCTTTTTTTCAAAGCCTGGTCCGTTATTGGAAAGTTTTCTCAAACTAAAACACAACTAGTATAATAAAAACAAATTAACTTCGTATGACAATTCATTTTACTGTACAAACGTACCCAACCGAAGAAGATCTATTGTACTAAACCCCAATGGTAATCACAGCCACTTAGGCTATCCAAAAATCTAAGCACTTTGGGCGGTGCCATATTCTAAATTTTAAATGGAGAAGATAATCGTATCCAAGGTGTATCAGTCTACGATTCATCCGCCTCATTGCGTAAGTCGTAAATTAAGCTAAATTATACGACTCGACAACATTGGCATTGTCTATTGTCGTGTTGAAATAAGTAAAGTTTTTACGTTTTAATACACTAGTAGAGTCGTAATTTTAGGCAATGACATGAAATGTTCGATACGAATCGACTCGAAAAACGACTTGCACTCGATACGACTCCCGCAGTTAGGCTGCATGTTTAGTGGGCAGGCACATACAGTCCTTCTTTTCTTTTTTTCTTCTTCTTTCTTTCGCATTTCGGCTACTCGCTTTGCGAGACCATTTCATGTAACGCAACCCAGCACAGCGTTACTCTATTGTGGGCTCTCAGGTTGTTCAAGAGTCCACAAGCCTTGATGCCGTTTTAAAAGAGTCTACGGCCTTTAACACTGCCTGACTATCCGACACAATATTTATTCTGGCTGCGAGCCCATTGGCAGACTTTGCTGGAATCTTGGTCTAAGTACGTCATAAAGTATAAAATGTTTGGAGATACATATTTTCTGTTTTTCTCAAATAACTATTACTCATTGTCACGGAAACTACCAAAATCCAATCTAGCCTACTAACCTATCAAATGAAAAAAAACCTACCAGTTTTGGTAGGAAAAGCCCATGTAGTTGTATATGTATAGTTGTGTTTGTTTACAAATTATCTAGTAACTTGCCAACCACTCTCCAGTAACTTAATTTCTAAGAATTCGCTCTCATAGAAAAAATGTCCAAAAAAGTACGCGAACGAAAATCTAGTAATAATTTGCAAGTTTCATGAACAGCTGATAAATTGGTTGTTTATTCGCAGCAAATTCCTAATAAAACAATATATTTTATATTTAAATAGGTTTATTTTGTCAATTTCAACAATAAAAACCCACAAACACTTTTTACAGCTGATGACAGCAGATTGGCGAAGAGTTTTCCTCGCAAAGATATCGAAAGAGGAAAAAGTAAAGCAACGAAAATTAGCAGAAATTTGCAAGCACTGTATATACACACACACATCTTCAAATGCATGTACAAATACTTACATTCTGCAATATTTCAATGTGTTTTGATAACGATTTTGTTTTATTAAAACAAATTAAAATAAAATTGCCTACTTTTTCCTTGTGCGTTTTGAACAGCTGCTTTTTAAACATATGACTGCAAATATCTGTTGAAATTTCGTCAGCAGAAATTTGCAGCTCTCTCGTTTTTTTACGCTCTCTTTTTGGCTCTCTTCTGCAATTTTTTTTGTTAAGAAACGCTTTCCAGCAGAATCCCGTAAAAATTTTCAATAGTTTTTCGTTGTGAATACAGCTAGTTTCCTCATTTTAAATTGCCTACAGCAACATGCGATCAGGTGTTTTTCGTACTTGCAAATTGTTACAAGTAAAAAATTAGAAGTGCGTTCGTACCCAAAACTATCAAAAGTTTTAGAAAACTTTTACTGGTTTTGCGTTCTCGTACCCAAAAAACTTGCAAAGTAGGGGAAATTGAGAGAGTA